AGCACCCGCTGGGGTTTCGCCTCTGAAATCCGATGGCGGGGAGAGGAGCAAGGAACCTGCCGGTGTGTTTTCAGCCTAAGCGAGGACCTGTCTGCGTGCAACAAATATTGTTCACCCCCGTTTATTAGAGGGGCCACAGCGGCAGCAAATCCGGCCCCGGCTCTTCTCTCCGCCAACTCAGTTCACGCGACGCTACGGGGGGGCACGAGTACGTGCCACTTCCAGGGAAAGTGGGAAACGGGAGCAGTTTGGAGGTGACCACAAAAGACAAGAATGGATGGAGATGACGACAACGACACGTGTTTCAGAAATAAAACACGAACAGTTCTGTATGATAAGCATATTAATTGAAATTAGTCACATAGTTAACAATGTGAAGAAATGCAGGATCATTTCGTTTTTGCCTTTCAGCCTCATGAATGCAAAATGTGCTTGTAATCTTAATACTATTCAAGAGACAAAGCGGTCTTTAAAAATCACACTTCACAAGACTCAAGGGAAAATAAGTTACTAATGAATGGTATTTACAGTTGCTTCATTTACACATGCTTTCCTTTGCTTTTCACAAGTTACTGCATAAACTCAAATAATTACAAGAAATGCAGAACATCGCTTTTCTCCTAATAATCTGTTTCTTGGTTCTGAGACGAGAAGTCTGCTAAACCTTCCAGCAAACGCAGCGGCCCAAGCAAATATCCATGGCCGTCAGTGAACTTCCCGAGAAGTGACCCTCAGAAAACCACCGGGGTGCAACCACGCACAGCGTTGCCTCCCGGATTAATTCACACTGTATGGAACTGGCTTGAGCCCCCGCCCAAATTCAGGGCGTGGTAATGCATTCGTACCTGTGGTTCATACAGCAAACGCTGACTTCACCTGGGGTTTTTGAGATCGACTCAGGGTTTTGTTGAGAGGGGGAAAAAACCTGCCAACCTGATACACAGCACGTGAAAAAGGGCTGGAGATGCGCGCACTTTTAGGCTGCAAGTTATTAATTGTGCGCCCACACTATGCCTATGTCCACACTGTGAAAAACCAGAATTTTTGCCTTACAGTTGCAGCACAGTTTAAACGAATACAAACCATCTTTTTTTTTTTTTCTATAGGAATTGCAACGTTTATTTTTTACCAACAGTATGCAAAAATAGCCCTTAAAAGAAAAGGGGGAAAAATGATCTGCTTTCTCTTTAAACCCACGAACAATAGAAGGTCACGTGCCGCAGTATCCTATCATTCAGCACATTAATAGCTGTGCTAGAGTAATTACACTTGTGGTATTTTTGCCTCAAGTGAAATTCTGAAATAAGAGGATGGAAATTATGATACTGCTGATAAATATTAATAAGTGAACTTTTAATTTTTTTGCCACAATATTCAAAATGCTAAGCATCTAGCTAATGCTGAAGCAGCCTGATATGTGTTTGCCTCCAGGGACTATGATGCTTTATGCACTTAAGAAAAAAGTTTAACGGAATTAAAATTTAATATCTAATTAGAGCAAGGCTAATATATTTTGAAATGAGTGGGGAAGACACACGCCTCTGTTGCATATTTGCTACAGTCATTAATCTTACCTGTAAAGCAGCATTGAGAGGTGTGCAGTAGGTGTGGCTGGTCTGTATGTTTTTAATAAGAGAAGGGTTACTGCATAAGAAAAACATAAAAAAGAGAGTTAAATGCAACCAACTTCTGTGTGAGTCTTTCAAGCATGTAATGCTTCCTCCCACACCAGAAAACTAGAGCTGAGACTGTTTTTCCACACAAGTTCTCTTTTGTTTCTCTTTTTCTTTTTCTTTTTTTTTTTTTTTTAAATTTAAAGGAAATATCTGAGGTTTAGGCTATGGTTATCATCTTTACTAAATAAGAAACATCATTATCTCTCGACTTTACCTCGCCATGTGTTCTACTACCCTGTGTTAGTAGCACATCTTGGCATCTCTGCTCATTTTAGTCGTGCTCAGGAGAAATTCTCCAATATTCACCGTGTCTGGGAGCCAGTTACCATGTAAAGGTCCATCATGAGGAGGCTGTGATGGAAAGCATCACGGGACATTTTAAATATTACTTCATGCAAATTGTTCTCCAAGTCGCTGGCAGCGGAGCCCCTCGCGGTGGAGCGGAGGGACCACGACGAGGGAGGATTCGAGCCAGGTTATTTCCTGCCAGGCAGACGGGGAGCGCGGGGGTGTGGGACTGCCTACGCCACCACCCCAGACAGTCTGGGCTTGTGGGCACGGAGGCAGGTACCGCTGCACCGCAGCGGAGCGGTACAGACCCCGCAGAACAACACGCTGCCCTAAAGGCTGTTTTAATAAAAAAAAAATTCTGGTGTGCTATTTTGGACTCTTACTTTAGTCGTCTTAAGTCTACATAAGGGGCTGGATTTGAGGAAAGTGAATGCCAAGCATATCTGCCTTCTCTGTAGCGGGCACCTAAATATCACTGGTTCCGCCAGAGGGGAAAAAAAGAATAAAAAAATCATTGAATGCAAACTAGATAAAAAGCGTCAATGCAAAAAATCACCAAAAAGTTTTATTGCTTGCTGGGCTTTTTTTTTTTTTTTTTGTAAAAACTGGGAGTAAGTCACGGTGGGAAGAGTCTTAACTGAGCCCCTCCCACAGGGACCAGCAAGGATCAGTTGTCCTGGAGAGATGGCCTTCACGTAAAGGTCAAAGAAAATTGCTTTGGGAACCCCAGGAATATTTGTGCACGGTTGTTGTAGACACAGGACGGCCTGTTGATTGTAATCTTTACAGCTGGTCTCACTGCACTTTCCAACTTTTTAAAGTCAGTTCAGCATTTCTGTCTTATAAGCACCTTACACTGTTTCTGATTAAGAGTTGCAAAACAAGGCATACAACGAAAGCAAAGGAAAATATCAGAATTAAAACTTATCTGAAGCCTTTTCTGGCATATATCTGTCTTCCTGACAGGTCTACAGCAGCGTATCTGCACTAGCGTGGATAATTATTTTAGCCTACATTGCACTATAAACAAATGCTATAACAAACACGTCTAAGTAGAGTTATTACATTTGGATTATCAGAGTAGGACACACAAAATACACGTAACAATCAAAAATTTAGTTTCTTTAGCAGCAAAGGTGATGTCACTATTTTGTGAAATGCAAGTCTACATGAGATGGGTAAATCATGCAAAGCAAAGCAACAGCAGAAAAAAAAAATTAAAGCAAGTAAAAGCTCTTACTGTGCAACAAGCTCGCCAAAGTTTTCATCAGGGCAGTATTTTCGAGGACGGCCTCGTTGAATATGACGGCCACGTTTAAACTCTTCATCATCAACAGTCCAAAAGGACCCAAACTCATCCTCTACTCTGATAAAGCACTTATGCAGTGAGAGGTTGGTGCGAATGGCACCCTGGGACAAGAGCAGCAGCAAAGGAGATGAAGTGGAAACAAAGGGACACGGGATCGGGGACAGAACAGACATCAAATACAGGGAAAAGGAAAAAGAAAATAAAATGCAATAAGCATAAGCAAATGGTTTGTGAGGGTTAATATGCATTGCCACCTAAAAGCTACTAGCATGTGATGCAACAAACACCAAGCAAGCAGGGTCAGGGTACTGGTGGGCATACAAACAGTAGTGATGAGATGTTTGTCTTGGTTTCCCTTAACTGAAACAATGCAAAACCACCTGTGGTTGGTCTAACACCAGCTAGCAGCCAAAAGCCTCTACGTTAAACTGTAAGCATGATCCAAGCTAGGCTAAGAAGTTCAAACATGGTGGACATACCCACTGATCTTTTGTGGCCTTCGTTTTTGGAACTCTAGTTCATCCACTGTCCATACTGCCCCTTTAACGTTTTCTACTCGCACAAAACACTTGTGAAGACTAAGATTATGACGCACTGCATTCTGCAGCAAGTATAAAAGAGAAAACATTCAAAAACTTTCTATGAGAAAATGCTCATCATTGTCCAAGAACAGCAGCACAGTCAGCTTGACAGTCCTCATTTTGCAATGTTAAGCCCCTTCCCCTCCCCGCACCCGCTTGCTTTCCCCGGCTCTTTACATCTTATTTTGCAAAGACAAAATAAATATGAAAGCTCAAACCCAAGATTAAAAATTCAAGTTATTCTTATCAATTATCCCCAGTGTGAATGAGAACAGCCATCACTTTAAGCATGCACGTTGCATAATACAGCACATTTCATACAGAACACGAGAGGAACATTGCTTAGACATTTTCAAAACAAATATATACGCTCTGCAAAGAGAAACTTCTCCTCTCCTGGAAAAGAAAGCCGTTAGAAAGAACAGAAAGGATTTCATGGAAGTACAGACGGCTCAGTTTAGCGGAGAGGCACCGGAGCTGGTGTCGCTGCGGTTTCCCACAGCTGGGCTAATGCGAATCAGGTGCTGAACCTCCTTCCACACCCACGGCATGGACTGGGGGCTCGGGGGCTCGGCAGCCCCCCACCGGCCGGCACGGCACCGACTCCTGCCTCCACGGCTTGCTCTTATATGGAAGTTGGCTCCTATTTCTGGCAGACTACTGCACTGACTGATCTGAGCCTCTGCCAAGTGAAAACATGAGGAGGGCTCTCCGAAACAAAGTGATAATATCCCCACAGCTCATCACCCCGAGGGACCCACACTCATGGCATCTGATGCTCAGATGTCCTCTCCGCAGCTCAGCGCCAGCGAAGGATGAGCCCAGCCAACCCCTCCGACACGCTCGGACCTTTGCCGAAGCCGTAACGAGACACCGCGCGATGTCACGGCAAGCTGTCGGCTCTTCCGCCCCGCTCCTTCAAACGGTGCCGAGCGCCTCGTTATTCCTCAGATGGAATGCCGTGCTTCTTCCCCGTTTTAGGAGTTTTCTGAGCAAATACCCTACCACAAAGCCACTCGAATTTGTACAGGGAGTTTGTCCCCAGCGCTGCTGAAAGGGGCTTGGTGAACAGGGAAAACAGAGGCAGCCATTTGCTGAAAATATGCAGGCGAACAAACTCCATCCATCATCACTGGCACCATTGATTTAGTCAATCTGGTTGACTCGTTAGCAGGCACAATGCCAGCCAAACACATGGCCTGGGTCTAGGCAACCAAGAGACTACAATTTTTTTTCCTTCCGTTGTCGTTGTCGTCTTTTTTTTTTTCTTTTTAATGAACATCGGGTCTGGATGGTGAAAGGGAGCTCTAATCATGAATGTCTAAATCACTGCGCAAACAAAGGGTACGCACGGTGCATTTGTCATGTAAATTAAGAGGCAGCGGTGTGTGTGCCTGGGAGGGGAAGGCTGAGAGTCTTTTGCTACTTTTCCACCTCTCTGCGATGGCTCGCACGGTCCCCACACCCTGTCCCCGGTACGGGGGAAGATTCAGGCCCTGAACTGCCTTTGCTCGCAGGTGCTCGAGCGCGAACGCGTCTCCTCTGGCTGCAGGTGCCCAGTCCCGGCTCTGCGGCACAGCCCGGGCGCTTCGGCTTTTCCACGCTCATCTGCTTGTGAACTGCTGGAAAAACAAACCTTGAATATGCTTTTCCTCTCAGCAAGGCAGAAATCTAGCAGAAAACCAACCTGTCCATCAGTGCTGCTTCTTTCTGCCCTTACTTTCTTCTGGTTTTATTTTTTAATGACTTCTTTTGTTCCCTCCCACCTCTCCCAGATTTCACTAGTTTTTAAATTTTTGGCAAAATCCCTGATTTTGAGGTGGAGGAAAAAACATGCAAATGCCCCACACCTTACAGCCTAAAATCTGCTAGCTCAGCAACTGCTGGTGGGTGCTGCACTAGCGCAACCTGACACAGGGCTGCCGGCCCACATCTGGGTAACTCAGGCAGTTTCCTGTGAAAATGGGAACACTGTCAAGTCTGGAGCAAAATGTAAGAATAATAACGTTATTTCCCCCAGTGAAAGCTGATCTTGTAGTTCATAGAGCAGTTGATCAAATGCACACAGCAAAGTTCAGCGAAGTGAGTCCTCGGAGTTTGTAAACAGTCTCTAAATACAGGGTTGAGCAGAAGTATTTGTGTTCTTCTTTAAATAAATTGAACGCCGGAGAAATACTTCACGATCTGTTCTTGTTCTCTGGAAGTCAATGCGCGGTTTGATGGTTAAGGCTGCTGGATGGGGCTCTTGCTGAGACAGACAAGTCGAATATTTGCAAGATGTCCATGAAGTGTTGCAGTCGCTTTCTATTTTCCACGTGATCACTTATTTAAGGGATTCATGGCAGAAGACTTCTTGTTTTGTTTCCCCTGCCTCTGGATACTTGCTATCTAAGTTTTATTTAAACAATACCCCAACGTTTCGGAGCCACACCTGCAGCCTGTGCCTCATGGCTGCGACTCAGTGCCAGCAAATTACTCCAAAAAACAAAAGCAAACAGACATTGCCTCTGACCTGTCAGAACCAGTTCACAGTGCTCCCCCAGCAATCAGCTTAACAGAAAAATTAGGAGCTATTATTGTAAGATTATATATTTACCTTGTTAAAAATATTTGTATGCAAGCCACTTTTGCAGAAAAATTACCCTGAACATGCCTGAATGTAGTAAATGAAAGGGTTTGTTATTTTAATAACCGCTCAGGCTCTGCTGTACTGCATTTTGGGAGAGAGGTTCTTTTTTAAAGGTCTTTATTCCTGCACTCTTCTGTGTTTTTGCAAGAGGGCTCAGGGAAGCTCGTCCACACCGCACCCTGACCCTAAACTTGGGGAACACTGACTCAAACACCCCCCAAGCGTTAGCTGAAGGTGAGCGCAAATCAGCACGTATATATTAAAATTATTCTGATTCTGCAGTTAGCCCCTTGTGCTTGTTCTGCGCCCCGTGGGCTTCCCGTCATGCCAATCCGGAGCTGCATTTCATCCCTGCTGTTCCTGAAGGCTGGCATAAATCTGAGCACTCTTCAGCACAAAAACCAGCATTACCTTCAAGCGGCCGCCAATTTTGCTAGTGCTGATGGAACTTAGGGTGAAGCTTTTCTTCCCGGGTAGGTAAAGCAGGACCTGGACACCTGCACAAGGTCAAGGTGTCCAGGAGGGGTCTCCGAATGGCACCTGCCTCCCCGGGACACACCTCGCTCTGCTGCAAGCCCGAGGGTCTGCAGCTCAGCCCCTCCGCGCCTCCGCTGCAGAAGCACGCTGTAAGTGCACGTGGCTTCTGGGGCTGCGTTCTACGTGACGCACAAAGCTAATTCCTCAAACTAGCCTCGCAGGAGACACGGCCAGGGCTGCCTGCTGCCTTCTTCCATGCCTCCCTCCGCTTCCCTTCCCTTTGCTGCTGGTATTAAATGGGATTTTTACTTCAGCACCCACACCTGCAGCTGCTGAAAAGTCCTACTGGAACACCTCCAGCAGCAGAAGACAGGCAGGTATAAAAGGATCCTGAATCAGGGAAAGTTAATTTCCTTTCTGGATAGTAAGGAAGCTGCAAAGTGAAACATTGCTCATGTTTTCCAACTGCAGTGAAGAATCAAAGCAGCAATCACAGAGACTTTTCCTGAACCTAAGAGCTTCTGGACTGAGGTTGAAAATGCACAAAATTGTGCTGGGATCTGAATTAAAAGCAAAACAGGCTACTAAAAACCAAGTTAACTTCCAAGGACCATTTTTAGCTCCATCCTCTGTGAAGGAACTAATCCTAAATGCAGGCTGAGACAGGAAAAACAGAAAGAGCTGATGAAACAGCATGTATGGGACATACTCATCCTACCTAGTCATTTGAAGTTTGTCGAGAGCAACAGAGCTGTCCAGATTAAGAGAGGCTCCAAGTACCAGGGCTGCCATTTTCACAGCAATACAAGATCCTGTTATTTGATTCATTAAGTTGTAATTGCACTAGCTTCAGAAGCCACTGTGGTTATTATAATGCTATATATAAGGGAAGGAGTGGTCCCCCAAAATATGAAATAAAATTAACTCCCTGGACCTCTTACCTAACACTATGTGAGATAGTTACAGTAGGAAATTAAAGTGCCAAATATCAAGTTTATTTCTGGTAAACACGTTTCTTATTGTGAAGCTTGCTTCTTGCGTATTATGTTCAATAAGCTTCTGCTGTGTGATTGAAAAAAAAAAAGAGGAAGTTTATAACGGATCTGTACATGTAGTTAAGAGTCAGTTGATTGAGGAAAGAAATCCACTGATCTATAGATCCTAGCAAAAAAGGTGGGTTTTGTGATTACAGTCTGCATAACTAAAAAGACAAACAGTATGTCTTCTATTGACACAGTAACTTCACCTCTTTTCATTTTTTTTTCCTAATACGTTCCAGCTGAAGGGCTTGAGTTTCACTGCTAGCAGCAACCACACAGAGGAACTCGTGGCATAATCACAGAACATAAAAGCCAATAATGGAGATTCAATTAGTGGTTTTCAAAGGCAGAAGAATTTTTCTGCCAAATATCAAATTGTTCCTGCAGATAAGGCACCCAGTGTGTGTCAAAACTGCCGATCTAAATTTTCATGTCCACATGTCGTTACAATTTGTTATGTCATCAGCAACGTCTATTCTGTACATGTCAGATATCGAAGACAAGAGGGACAGGCGGGCTAAGGCTTACCTTCCACGTCGCCGCGTTGCGTCTGAAGTAAGCAAACATTCGCGTGAACCAGTTGTAGATTTCATTTAGTGTTAGCTGTTTTTCTGGAGATTCGAGGATGGCCTTGTGAAGCAAAGTGATTGCTAGATCAGATACGAGCACACCAGTACAAAATACACTCACAGTTTTACTTTACCAGATACAAAAAGGGAAGAAAGAAAGGAAGAAAGGAGAGATTTGGAGCAAAAAATCCAAAGGAGGGTTTTCACAATATGAACTAAGATTAATGGCTGTATTTAACAGTTCAATGGCAAAATTCAAAATGGAATTATCTAATTGTTTTGAGTTTTTATTTCTGTTTCCTTACAGAAATATTAATTTATTAGTCATTCATAAAGCAGAATCAAAGAGAAATGCAAAACATTTCACTAGCTGATTAAAGCTCAGTAATTATTTAGAGCTCAGATTAATTCTAGGGATCAGAGATTACTGTAGCTTGTGATAATTGACTTGCCATCTTTAAACAGGCTCATTTTCACTGTTGTGTGAAATGAATTTCCTAATAATCACATCGTATTGTAATACTTAATCAAAAGCAATTATGTTATATATTGCAGTTCTAAAAACCCTTATAGTAAAGGTTTGAGCATTTGAGCACGCTTACATACCAAAGGTTTGAAAATCTATTTAATCCAGAGTGCGCACATATAGGGAGATTTTTTTTTTCCTTAATCTAAATGTGTGTGTTCGGCTCAGCTTACCTGTCTAATTAAAGATGCATACGTGAATGGTGGTCTAACTTCTGCGTTCTTATAAAATTCTTGGTTCTGGGCAATATCTGCTAAATAAAAGCAGTTGTTCTGTTATCACCACAGCCTGCCGCTGCCGCGCTGCGGGCAACAGCCAGCTGCCCGACCAAAGGGGCTGCGCCACCAGAACCCCTTTACCTGAAGAAATGGGGACGTTGTATTTATCCGAGTACCGCCTCCGTATGGGTCCGACGTTGTGCATGCTCGTGGTAGTGATGACCGACGGTCCCTGCGTGACGGGAGTGATGGGCGCAGTCGGGGTGGTGGGAGTATGAGGTAAGCTCTGCGGAGACGCCTCGGATGCAGTCTTGGAAAGCGTGACGCTCGATACCAGATTCAGCTGCGGAGGGAAGGAGGAGGATTTCGTTACAAACGGTCCTTCTGGCTAATTAAGGGCTGCAGAGAAAATTCTCGATAACGGCGTCTTCCTCAGTTCGAAGCAGACAGGAGAGCCCAAGCGCTTCCTTCGGCACGAAGTGCTGTAGTAACTCTCCATTAGGAACCAGTAAAGGGAAATAAATACCTACATTTCTGACAGATTTAAAAAGAGAATAATGTAGCCTGCTGCCAGAACTACAAATTGCGAATTTTTATCTAAAACTTAAAACAAGATCTCACACAGTACATAATCATTTTAATATTTTATTTTAGTTCCATTGTTTCACAATCTAAACCCCGCACGTCTCTTATTTCCACGCTATCATTATGCACGGCTCCTAATCAATCTTCTTGGATATTTCATTGCAGGCATCAGGCTTAAAAGAAAAGGCGAGACTTTCCTAGGGACGTACTAGGGAGAAATGCATTCTTTCTCTTCAGCATTTGGGCTGTGTGTCATCGTCCCCCCCTCCCGCCCCGTTCATCCATTTTAAAAGCAAAGCCCACAGTAGGTTAACACTGGAATAATTTAATTAATCACACTGCACGAAATACTGCAAGCATTCAGCCCAGCAGCGGTGGCACCACTTTTTTTTTATTTTTTTCTCCCAGGACGGGAGGCATCAGCGCTACCTGCGCGAAGCCCAGCCCCGGACAAACGGCAGCGTGCCACAGCAGGCTGTGAAACACGACTGCCTCTGGGACTGCGTACGAAACCCAGCCCCAGCTCAGGCGTCTTCGATACACAACCCTATTTATACAACCAGCAGCCACATTCCTCCCCGACCCTTTCTTTTTGCCCTACAACGCCCTTTGAAAGACGATGCTCCGTCTCAATAGGTCACTCCCGCTGAAGTGTTTTAAACAAACAACCCGATCTCTTAACTACGACATCAGAAACGACGACGGAGAAAGGGGCTCTTGACTACTTCCACATTTCCTTCCCTTAGGCGGTTTTGCGAATAGTATTGGTGAAATCCTGACCCCACTGAAGTCGGTAGCAAAATTCCTACTGAATTTAACAGGGCCAGAATTCTACAACTTTTGTTCATGATTAAAATTCCTTTTTGCTGGACACGAAACCTTTACAGATGAAGGCAGGGCACACTACTCAGATATGCCCCCAAACATCTCACGTTTATCCATAAGGCACTGTATTAATTCTCCTCCTGTGAAAGTAACCAGATAAGAAAACTCCTGTTAGCATCCCTCGTACGAGTTAACAGCCACAAGTAACATCTCCTTCTAAAAACACCGCGATTTCGCCAAAGCAAAGGTAGGGCGAAATAAAGGGCTCCAACGTGACGGAACGATACCGACACAAAAAGCCCGTCGCCCACAGAAAGGGCGCAGCCGAGGGACAGATAAATCGTGATTCCTTTTCCCTCCCGGCGGCGAGACGGAGCAAGCCGAGGGACGCTCCGGCCGCTCAGCGCCGCTCCAAGGGAAGGATGCGGCGAGCAGCAGCCCTGCGGACACCCACGCCTCTGTGCAGGCGAGTACGAACCCAGCGAGGGATCGCGGAAGGCGGTGAAATATGGGTAGCCGTTTCCCAGGGAGTCCCGCGCCGGCGTGAACCGCTACGTGCAACCGCGCGGCGAGCGCGGCTGTTCGAACCCCG